CTTTAATGAGATCAGCTGCAGTTACTACTCTGCTACATGAAAGAAACTGTCTTGATGCAGAATGTCCTATAATTATGCTTTCTATCCAACTGAAAGTTTATTGGTATTTATAAGCCATCAACAAGCAGTGACCTATGTCTTAGATTTCTAGGACTAACATGATACTTTATAGTATCAAGAATTGCGTATTTCTAACAAAAGATGTGATTATGTTACTCATATCCTTGAGTTTTTACTCACAAAAAAGAAGAATATTTTCATTAGTTATTGTATGCACAGTGAATACTGTAATTATATAATTGTATTGGGAAATTTCATTTTTTGAACCCTTCATGTGTGCTGTCGTTCCATGCGTCTTCTTCATCCTTCTTTTTAAGGAAGCCATAATGTGCACTGGGGCATAGCATTTTGGGTGGTCATTCTTCTTGCTGTGTACTGGAAGAAAGCTTCTTAAACAATACCCAGTATATCAATGTTATTCCAGTTTCCTGAGAAGTGTAAGCCATTTGAAATATGGTGTATTATCAATATCTGTAATAAATAAAGAGAAGCTGTAAATGCAGTGTTGGTTTTCCTGTGCTCTTAACACACTGTGCTTCTGTGTTCCCTTCACTAGTGTTGATAAATGGAGTGTAATTTTCATTTCTTAGTGGTGTGATGTTCTGGCCCACTTCGGGTGATCCCATTTCTCTTTCCTAATCTTAATTGTATCTTGCTTCTTCCCATGTTACTGCTGCTTTTTCAAATCTACAGCCTCAGAACAAACTGATTAATACAAACTGCAGTGTTTCCTCTCTTCTCATTTCTTCTGCAAGTTCGATGCAGCTGCTGCCATCACTTCCCTCTTGGACACAATTCCACAATGTGGCTTTGCTAGCTTCTTATCTCTGGAGCTGTGCCTAAATAAGATGTTTCCAAACATCTTTACTGGAGTTTTCTCATCTACTCTTAAATCTTTCTTGTATTTTTAGCTGTATTTTCCATTCGGATCACTGTTCAAGTTGCTGTCCATAAAGAACCTTCTCTCTCAAGGAGTCTTTTCTCTCAGTGTTTCTTGGTCAGTCTTCTCTTCCTTATCTTTTTTGGTACAATGATCAGGGTTGGATGTTACCTGTGTGTGAATGTTGAATTCTTCAGGCATGGGGGGAATGAGGAATCATTTTGAATTAGTTGTTTTGTTGTGCAGATGCTCACATACTGCTTCGTTCTTAGAAGTTTGGCCTGGAAAGAAGCAGATACCTTTGGGTCAGTGACTTCTGAGCACCACGTGATACCACAGTTACAAATGAAGTACAAAAATTTGGTGCCTGTAAAGAAGAAGCAATTATAAGTAGTTAAAACTCAGTGAAAAAGTGGAGGACAAGTGAAGAATATGTAAATAGTGCTTTGCTTTGTGTTTTGAGTAGATATGGATGAAAAGAAAACTGAAGGAAGTCCTGCAGCTTCTTGTGCAATCAGAAGTAGGTAAGAGCCAGTCCTGAAGCCACTGGGCTTTTGATATCTCAGTTAGAAGAGGTTAAACAAGGACAGTGTATTCAAAAAAACAAACATCCAAAAAAAACCCCCAACAACAACAACCCAGCCAGCACTTAACAAATACTGTACTCCACCTAGTGAAATCTGTTGTAAAGTAGAATGAACAAAGCAAATACAGTAAGAAGATTAATGATTAATTGATCAAGTTGTTTACAAGGGTCAGTTGGCTACTTGAAAGGCTGACTTCATAAAGGCAGGTAGATTGTGTCTGGGGGCTAGGACAAGACTGCTGGAAAGAAGGCAGAAAATTTACCTGTAAAAAAACCCACTCAAAACACACTAAAATCAGGAAGACTGGGTGACTAATGCAGTCCTTGTAGGGTGGGAATGAGATAGGAGAATGGGGAACTGTCAGTGTGATAATGGCTGATAAGATAAACCTCTGTAATACTACGGCCAAACACACACAAGATGAAAAACCTATTTTTTGTAGCAGGCTTGATCACTATCTGTGAATTTCTGAGTTCAGAGAGATCCAGAAAAAGTAAGAAATCTGGCTTTATGGTGAGAAAAATAAGCTATTTCTGCCATAACTGTCGCATATACAGAATACACAGTGAAAAGTAATGGAGTAGGCCTTTCTGTGAAAAGGTACCTTGTATTTATCAAGTGGTGGCTTCTGTGGTCATCCAGATTTACACAGTCAAACCTGTGACTGTTCAATCCAAGTTGAGAGGGTTCAGTAAATGTCTGTTCATCCTGGAATTCTGGCACTTGAGTCTTCTGAGGAAATTACAGTTGTACAAATTGGAGGATAGCTATTAAATTAGTAGCATTGTTGACTTAGTTGCACACAGATGAGCAGGACTTGCCTTTATGTACATTTTTGCAGCTCGCAAGAAGACTCAGGATTTTACAATGCTTCAGAATGTCAATTTGTGTAATCTCAGCATCTGACTTCTAACATCAGTTGTAGCTTTAAGATTATATCCTTTTGGATGCTGAGAGAATCAAAGGCATCTACCTCTGAAAATTGCTGTCCTCCATAATCACCTCTCTTTGTCTGAGTTTGGGTGGAGACTGTGAGGTGCCCTGGGGAGCCACTGTGATTGCTAACTCAGAACATCCTCTCTTTTGCATCCAGCTTACCTTTGAGTACTGTGCTAACTGTGAAGGAGGAGTCAGCCTTTTGGTCTTCTACCTAATTCTTTCCCTCACCTCCGTTAATACGTGTGGAATCATTTAGTTGTTGTCAGTAGCCTTGAATCATAGCACCACCAAATAAAATAGCCTTTACCTTTCCTACTCACACAGAGCTAGGAGGGAATTGAGAAAGGAACGGTCTGTGTTAGGCAGAGGAGAGCTGCTCATTAGGACACTTGGGTGTTCTGATCAGGTCGTACCAGTTGTTTTCTTCTGCATCCCATTCATCAACATCACTTTAATTGCTATTCAAATGACTGAAGCGATTGCCCACATTAATTATCCATATTCCTGAGGTACTAGAATTGTTCCTCTAAGCTGTTTCAATTGATTCTTAAGACATTCCTGGGTTTAAAATAGACACCTGCTGGAACTGCAGTGGTTCAGAAATCCCACACTCAGCAGCCTGGGATTTCTGAGGCCAGCAGTTCATAGGGTCAGCCTGACTTAAAATCAGGTAATTTTGAGGAGCTAAATGTAGAGTGACAAAGTATCTTTTCCCTTGTAGCTCCATACCACCTGAGGAATACCACATCAGGAATGTGGATGCAAACAAGTTATGGCAGGCCTGGCTTACCCAAGTCTTAACAGAGTCATCTGACTTTTTTTAAAAAAAAGTCACTGTAGCTGTACTTCCAGAGGAGCTGGTGATAAGTCAGGCTTACTAAGGAATGCAGTTTTTATGCTGACACTTTCTTTAACTGTGGTTTCAGAGTAATGGGTGTTAATGGTGAATATCTGCATTGTTCTGATAGTGACATCAGAAAAAGCCACGCCATGTTTGTCTAGCCAGAGGGAGCTGTGATTATTTCCTGTCTATCAGGAACATATTATTAAAATAAAGCCTCTCAATGTCTGGTATGAATATCTGAGGTAGCCAAATTTAGACATCTCTCTTCATGTAATGTTAGGAGTTGTAAGAGTAAGGTTCCACAGGGCAAATCTGATGCGGCCTGTCTTTCCTCAGATGAGAAAAATTCAAACCTCATTTAGAGACATTTCACACTGTGTTAGTGTCCATAAAGCTCTCACTTTCTCTGTTAGAACAAAAAATTCAAAGCCTTGCCTTTTGTCTGATTAACAAGTAAATGTAATATTTCTTATTTCTCTTCTGAAATGAGATGTTCCTGTTTGAATGAACAGCTATGTTTATTAAAATGTTTCCAAGTCTCTAAATGAGGTGGTTAGGATTAAGCAATGCTGTCTGGTGACAGTGGGCCTCCCAGTGAGATAACAGAAAATAAATATTATTTGTCTTAAGGCAAACCTGAGAATCCAAGTTCTTGGCAAGGACAGTTATCTGGTTTTAATAACCAGCTTCCTGGAACAAAGACATTGTGTTACTTTAGATTGAAAAAAATCTTCTCCAAAGCAACTTTACATTTTTCCCTGTTTCATCCAAATAAAACATAGTAGTCCACAGTCACGTAACACAGTTAGTTGTTCAGATTTTTATTTTTTGGGGGGGAAAGCAAAAAATAAGAACATTTAGAAGCTGCCTTTGAGAGCACTGAAAATAAATGCACAGGCAGAGTGAAGCATGTTTGGTTTTTGCTTCTCCTTCTGGATGGTATTAAGAAAAGTCTTGACTTCCAGAAGTGAATTTTCAACTACTTGAGGGCAGATCTGTTGTAATATGTTGTAGTTTTGCATCCTGTGCTCAGCATCATGTAGTACAGAATCCTAAATTACAAACACCAAGTTCTGATTTTGATCTCACATTATTACATACTTTGCTCTGTAGTATTCAGGGAACTGAGCTCACCAGTAGTCATAAAATGCTTCTCCCTTTCACACTCCGTGATACTCCTTAACATTTCCACCTCCTCCTTCAGCTCTACCACCAGGCTGAGCAGCTCATTCCCCTGGTCTTTGCTGCCCTCCAGTACCAGGGACTGCAGCTGGAGACCTGGACAGCTGTATGTTGAAATGGGAGCTCTGTCTAGGTCACCACATTCCTTCTGGAGATGGCATTTGGCCGTGGAAACTAGTAGTCATAAAGCAGCAGTAAAGGCGAGCAGAGACTGGGAGTTGAGAGTAACTGTGTCACTAACATCAGCTGGAGAATGCACTAGCTTGCTTTCAACAGTAGCATTTTATGGTTACTTTCTGGGAGCATTTGAGGATTCCTGTAGATCTATGACAATGACCTTAAAATGACAAGAATTTCTATTGGAAAATTAGGCTGACTGTGTTTTATCAGTATTCTGTTTTTTAGCAGTCTTGGTTTCTGTGTTTTTTCACTCCCTCCCCTCTTCTCTTCTGTACAACAGGGATTTGGAAAACAAGTGGATGTGTCATATATTGCCAAACATTACAACATGAGCAAAAGCAAAGTTGACAACCAGTTCTACAGCGTGGAAGTAGGTGACTCAACCTTCACAGTTCTCAAACGCTACCAGAACTTGAAACCTATTGGCTCTGGGGCTCAGGGAATAGTTTGGTAAGTATCAGCAGTTTCTCTTATGCTTTTAAATAAGATTTGCCTTTTGCATTTCCTCACAGTTTGCTAGCCACAGACATTGCCTAAAATTGGAAAAATAACAGTCAGGCAACAGACATCCTGAGGCAGAAGCAGCTTAGTCATTTGCTATTATATTCTCCTGCTGACGAGAATGCTAGCACAAATGTAACATAGCCAAATGTAACTAGCAGAAAAGTGGGAGAAAGATCTTATCATAATTGACAACTGGAACACTATTTCCAGAGGCAGCACAAATAATATCCCAGGTTAATACATATCCCAGGTATATACCTGTATATAACTATATACAGGTAAACCCTGTAATTTCAGGCTTTGTCCAGTAAAAGCCAGAAAGCAGTATAGAAACTTGTCGCATCCTACAGCATTTTCAGGTATTCAGAGTACAGGCCTTTGGAATCAAGGGAACTGCTAATGTTGCCTTTATTTCTTAAGAGAAGCATTGCAATGATGTGAATAATGACAATGAGACAAATGCAGTAGCTCTCCTAAATAATACAACAGGCTTGTGGAATTCAAACTCATTATGTTCAAAAGCTGTGATATCCAGGTTGGCTTTTGCCTCTGCATTTTTAGAGATGGCTCTTAAATTTCAGTGGCTTGGATGTAAATATCTCTGTGCAGGTGTTTGTTACCTGTTTAATTATGAGGCATTAGGGTAACTAATACTGTCTTTTATCTGTGACTTGATCAGAGATTAAGTCTATTTCCATCAGTCATCTTTATTACTGATTTTCTGACTTTGATGTAGTGTCTGTTACCTTACAACTGGAGGAAAGAGT